CCCTGGCTCCAGGCTCCTGTCAGGAGCTGTGCAGAGCCAGAAGGTCTCCCCTGAGCCTCCTTTGCTCCAGGCTCAGCACCCCCAGCTCCCTCAGCTGCTCCTCCCCACACTTGGGCTCTAGACCTCTCCCAAGTTTGTTGCCCTTCTCTGGCCAAGCTCCAGCACCTCAATGTCCTTGGGGTGAGGGGCCTGTCCCAGCAGGGACACCCTGGATAGTCTTCTCTGTTCCAACAGCTGCTTTACAGGCAGAAAACCACAGATGGAGGCACCAGAAGTTGGGATGCAGAGCAGGCAGCAGAGAGCTGGGTCCTCCCAACAACGCAGCCAAGTGTCCTCTGGAGCACGTTTGAAGACCCAAGGAAATCTATGGGAACTACTAATGGAACACCCCCAGGACTACCCAGAATTAGACAGGTCAAAAATTTATCCTACTAAGTGTTCTTGGGTCTCCTCCTAACAATGGTTTCCCTGGAGCTTCTGCATCAGGTCAGCTCTGAATTCCCACCACATCTCTTCTCCCTATCCTTTCATCTTCTCACTGTTTTTCACATACCTTCTATCTATGGATTCTTTTCTCTGTTTATAATTTCTCTTAAGTCCAGAGTGCCAAAAACCAGAGATATTTTATGAAAATGGTGCCTCCTCACTCACTAGCTCCATATATATCTCTCTATATGAATGATTCTGTCCTGATTTCAGCAACATTCTTGTTGCAACACCTTTTTTTCTCTGCTAACACTGCAGAGCAGTACAGTGATATATAAAAAGGAGTTTCAGGCAGATCAATACCTTAAAACCTGGATCAGAAACAAGCAAAACACTTTTATTTTCATGAATTTCATCACTGAACATGGATCTGGGAGCTCGTGGGATGTTCTTTAGTTCCTGGAACATTGTTAAGCATTGGAGTATAAAACAACCCAACGTGAGCTCCTGAAAGTTTTGCTGGAGCCCAGTACAACGTGAGAGTGCCTGAGGGGCAGAGGAGAAGGTGGGAAAGGGTGGTTTTACCCAGCACTTATTTCTAATTAGATTGTACTTTATTGCACAGTGATGTGCATCTGTAAAAGTCTGTTTTAAAAGGTGTAGGAGACAGACATTAACATGATTCAAAGGCTGGAGAATATGCCAGATTGAAAGGACTTCAAAGAGCTCAATCTGTTCAGTTTATCAAAAAAAGAAGTTCAAGTGTTGGCTTGAAGCAGGGTAAAAGTCTTTCCACAAGGAGAAAATGCTGGTTCCAGAGGAGTTTAATGAGCTAGCAGGGGAGGATTCAAATGGTGGAAGCTAATGCTAGATTAACAGAGACAGGAGGCTCAGTGTCATCTTTTTATGGTGGAGGGGATTAATCATGAAAAAATTATTAGGGAAGTGATAATTTATACATTTCCTGAGGAACAAAGGTCCTTCACCCCAAAGGAAGTCTGGATAGCTTTGGGGAAGATATATTTTAGCCCAATTCTACTTCCTGAGCTCAAGACTGGGAGAAATGTGCAAAATAAAAGGGCCCAAGACATCCAGGCAGGCAGCCTACGTGGTGTAACAGCCCATTTGGGATGAAATCCTATGAATCATCAGCAGAAATTGGAGGAGGACTGTGCTCCTGGTGGTGCAGGAGCCCAAACCCCCTCAGATCCGTTAGCAGATCCCAGATATAGCCCTCAGAGTGGGAGGTTGGGAAATGCACCTCAGAATTTGTCAACTGAGAGCATCACAGATGTTTCCAAAATATCAGGCTGGCCTCATCCCTGCCAGGCACCCCACAGAGAGGCCAGAAGGTGGCTACAGGACCTCTCCTGGGAGCTGGGATGGAGCACACCAGCCACTCAGAGACTCACACTGGCACCCAGCCTGGCCTGGGCTGCAGCTGAAGTCTTCTGGTGCAGAAAAAAAGAATGATCTGGCAACTTTCACCAAGAAATGAATAGATATTTTTTGTTTAATGTGGCAAAATGACAATGAGTGGCTAAATATTTGTGTGCTTTGAAGAATGGACATTAGAACTCTCCATTTTTATTGGGATTTTTATATATGTGTACATAATAAGACTGTATGTGTGTTTGATACAGAATCATAGAAATGTTTTGGTTGGAAGAAACCTTTGAGATCATCAAGCCCAACCCTCACCCAGCCCTGCCAGGTCCCCACTGCTCCGTGTCCCTCACCCCACATCTCCACGGCTTGGAAACCCCTCCAGGGGTGGGGACTCCACCACTGCCCTGGGCAGCCTGGCACAGCCCTGGGCAACCCTCCAGGGCAAGAAATTGTTCCTCAGGGACAACTGAAACCTCCCCTGGGGCAACTTGAGGCCATCTCCTCTTGTCTTATCAATATATAAATACTTCTAACAGTAAAGAAAATCTTTAAGTTCTTATTCCAGTATCCACGACCTACACAGGCAAAACCATCATTTTCTTCTGTGACTTGAGAATCTGTGAAGTGAACCTGAGAAGTTGCTTTAGGATTTGAGAATATTCAAAATCTGGCCAGAGGAGATCCTGAGCAGATGTCCTAGCTGGCACTGCCATGGGAGGCTGGACGAGGTGACCTCCAGAAATCCTTTCCAACCTCAGCAATTCTGTGATTTTTGACCAATTTTCATGGAACTTGCCTTGTCATTCATGAGTTGATGGTTCAGTGGAGTCCAAGTGCTCATCTTGGTCTGTAGCTTGGGGCCCTCCATGTTTCTAGGAGGTGCAAATGCCATAGGTACAGGAGATGGTGGGTCCCTTGATGTCTTGTCAGGACCAATGGCTACAACAATTGAACAAAGACCAACGTTATCTCTGTGCCACTGCAGAATAGAAATACTTCATAATTAAACAGGCCTTCCCTGTCACAAATATTGAATTTGCCTTTGATTTTTGCTGTATGGGTGATCCCAAGAGGGTGTTTGCAGTGAGCTAGGAAGTACACAACATTTCTCTTGCCATTTGTTGGCACTGAAGATTGAAGATAACTTGTGCCTCTACTTCAGTGACACCCTCTAGGTTTTCACTGGTTTTGATGGGGATAGAATACCAAGGCTCAAAGGGTACATTTTTTTCTGAATAGATTTGAAAGGATGAGATCCAGAATGGTTCAGAATTGTCTAAAATCTCTCTGGGTCCTGATTGGTGTTGATGGTTTGGGCTGACTGTGCTGCCCTTTCAAACAACAAATCCATGTGAAGTTAATTGGACATTTAACAAAATTTTCCCTTCCCTTTTGTCACACAAAGTAACTGGAATTTGTTCTGACAAAGTCATTTCTTCCTAAATTCTTGGCCAAGCAGAGGGAAAGGGTTTTTTTTCTCTTATCCTGCAGCTGGATCCAGCAGGATAATGTCAGTGCTCACCTCAGGCATCCAGTTTCCAGACTGGAGGCTTCATCTGCAGAAGCCTGAACACCAACTCATTTCTTTACCACATTAAAAAATATCTCAGGTCCCTGCATACAGTTATTAGACAATTTTTTTCTGTAAACACCTTAGATGGCTTTAAAGCTTCACGATGGCAAGGTGAATAATAGGATTTTAGAACAAAAGAAAAGGTGAATCCATTAAGGAACTCCACCCCTGCATTGCCAACCTGCCCTGAACCCAAGCACCTCAAAAACCACCCAGCAAAAGGACCTTCCTAGCTCTGAGGCTCAAAAGACAAATCTTCATGAAAGCTCAGTCCCCCATTCCTTACTTAGACAAAATTCCTCTCTATATCAAAGGAAGATTTATCTTCAAAACCCACTGCAGGATCTGTCTGGGCACATCACCTTTTTGATGAGTTTTTTCCTCTCTTTCTTTCCTGATTTATTAGGGAATCAAAGAAATACAAAGAAAAAATACAAAATAATCTGTTCTATCTTTTGGCATCTGGGGATATAATACGGTCCCTGGTGAGGAAAGTTCATTACAGGAGTTCTTTCTCTTTTCATTTATTCTCTAGAGGTCCTTCAATAACTTCTTGCCTGCACACTGAGATTTTAACTCCCCAGAGAGGAGCCACAAAAAGCTGAAAGCCTTCATGAGGTTCCAAAGCATCACGTTCTGCAGCTGGCCAACGTTTGAGGCTTCTTGTGCAACTGAGTAGGTGCATTTGGGATCTGCATTATGATGGGATGACTTACTGGGTTGGTTTTGGTTTGGTTTGTTTTTTTCCCCTGCCCTTTTCGGTGCACAGAAATACAACATTACAAGCTAAAAGAAACAGCTCCACTGCCAAAAAAACAGGTTCAGGCAACCATGTCCTGTTTTTCAAGGACAACCTTCTCCATTAGTCACAAAACCATCCGTTGTCACCACAGCACACTCCCAGCCCTGGATTCACCATCCAGTTTCCCTGTGCAGAAATGTTTTCTTGCTGCTGGAGTAGCTGTGTGCACAAAGGGCCTCCACCAGCTCCTAGCCCAAAGGCAGTTGTGATTCTGGACCCTCCTGTGCACCTTCTGTGCCAAAAATGTGCTGTCCTTACTTACTGGTGACAAATGGTGTCCCTCAGGGGTCTGTGCTGGGACCAGTGCTGTTTAATATCTTCATCTATGACATGGACAGTGGGACTGAGGGACCCTCAGCCAGTCTGCAGGTGACACCAAGCTGAGAGGTGCTGTTGGTTGGCTAGAAGGAAGAGATGCCATCCAGAGAGACCCTGATGAGCTCAAGA